CAAAACTTACCTGGAAACGCTTCAATGGGAAGTTCTACCTCACCCGCCGTATTCACCGGACATAGCCCCCTCGGATTACCACTTGTTTTGGTCGATGGCGCATGGTTTGAGCGAGCAGCGCTTCCATTCTTTCGAAGAAACCGAAAAATGGGTCGATTCATGGATTGCGTCAAAAGATGAATCGTTTTTTCGACGGGGGATTCAATTACTGCCAGAAAGATGGGAGAAAGTGGTCTCTAATGATGGACAATACTTTGAGTAAAGTTATTGTAAGCCTTATATTTTAAATTAATGTTTTTTTTTTAACAAAAAAAACAGCGAGAACTTATTCAAGGTCCTAATATAACGAATTTTTATATTAAATCAGTCAGTATTGTTTATTAATATTGCTTTTTACTATTAATAAGCTTTTCGCTTGTAATTTAGTAATAATCTTTAATTATTATGGACCAATAATAAATTTTAACTGTTAATGAACTTAATTAATTTATTAATAATAAATTTTTGCTTTTAACAAAATAGATTTTTAACTACCAACTTTTTGTCACTAATAAATTTATTTCAGTTATGACAAATTTTTAATACTAATAAAGTTTATTTATTGGTAATGAGTCATAAATTAAATTAATTTTTCTAGTTACTGCGATAGAATATGCCTTGAATCGTTCTATGATACATTCTATACGGGAAGAATTAACTATCAATATATGGCAAGACTTGGCTAAAGCTTCTGAAATTTATTTTTACGGGATGCGTTGTACTCGTAACTGCCATTTTGACTGTAATGATTATAAACTTGTTCCTGACGCCTACAACGTAAGTTGATTTACTTTAATATTTATGTTAATAATTTTGTAATTATTTCTTTACATTTCTAAATACTTACATATCTAAATTATTTAAAATTATCTCGGAGATTTTAAGACACAAGATTAAAATTATTGACAAAATAGTTTTCAATTTGTTTAATAACTGATTTTGTTACATTAAATAAGTGAACAATATTAATTATAGTTATTAAAATAAACAATCCTCCAATTAGGAATAAATCTAGAAGTATATATTTAATTCTAGTAATATGACAAATGTGTCTTAGTTTATTGCAATTCAAAAAGTAAAACTAAAAAAAATAACTGTTGGAAAACTTTTGCAAATTTTTTATTTTGAGTGTTACTAGATTATTTATATATTAATACAAATGACGTTTTGTATTTCATTAAACCAAAAAAAGTTAGCCACGCTATTCTACGCTCTAGTTTTTAATATTAAATGTAAAAGTGTGGCATTTACAGAAAATCACACGGCAAGGCTTTGATTGATACTCGACAACGTGATACAATGCACGGAAAAAGATGAATACGCCTATCACGAGATGATATCGTATTTGCCGCTTTGCAGTCATCCGAATCCTAAGGACGTATGTGCAACAATTGACGCATTAATTTTTAGATTTGTCATGATTATATTAGCTTTTAAACTTACTAAGATTTATCCAGATTTTTTAAGTTTATATCACGCAGTATAAAGAAATATTAAAAAGAAAATTATAATATCAAGGCTCTTACGATAAATATCACACAAAGAAGTAAAGAGCAAATGAGCCAATGTTGGTTGTCCGTACATATATGTTTCAAAATATATGTAGAAATATATGTACAAAATATATATGTGTAATCACATTATTGTGATTACAATCTTAAATTTCAAAATATATGTACGGACAACCAACGTTGGCTCATTTGCCCTTTATTTCTTTGTGAAATATTAAAGAACTTTTTTCTCAATGTAAAATTTATATAATTCTGATTCTCATTAAATTAATTGGCGCTAAAATAAAGTTTTTTATTATTAATTATATATAATAATTAGCATCATTAATGCTCTCTTTTCAAATTCATAAACAAGTGTTGTGTTAAATTAGAGTTTTATGAAAAATATTTTATTTTCTGACACAGGTTTTGATAATTGGAGGTGGCGATGGTGAAGCTGCTCGAGAAGTCGCAAAACATCCGGATGTGAAGCGTGTCACGTTTGTGGACATTGAACAGAGTAATTGAAATATGTAAGGACTATTTGCCTCGTTTGAGCTTGGGTCCTAACAATCCTAAAGTAAGCATTCACGCTTGTGACGGCTTGCAATACCTGAAGGATCACCACGGAAAATTCACGGAAAATTTATGTGAAGTGATTTGCCTGTTTGCATCCGGCGGTACTCGCGTTTGCGCTTGCGGAATGGAATATAAGAAAGTTAGCGATACCAAATGCGAACCATACAAGACCTTTGCGGTGGTAACTCAGCTGGACGTTGCCAGAAGTTACAGTCTCAAGAACTCCAAGGAAGCCAAGGTACCCATTGCCGGAATTGGCCATCACATTCTCCATGTGGACGTGCATTACGCGGGCAATTGGATATATTGGGTGGAATTCAACCGAGGCATCTGGAACGGTATCTTTAGGTGAGAAAAAATACTATTATTGGCAGATATTAAATTCTTCAGAAATTTATTAAAAATAAAATTAATTTATATTTCAGAATACGATCCAACGGCACAGAACTGCAGCAAGTAGGCAGTCAAACAGGGAATTGGCTCCAATGGAATTCCAATGGAAACTTGTATTTTGCCAATGTCTTCCCCCATGACAATTACGTGGAGGTCTGCCGGTTAAACAGCTCGAACCAAAAAGTGCTCGTGAAGACAACGACGCTCCCTGCGAGTTAGCAGTTAATCCGATCAAGCATACCTGTATTGGATCGATTACGAACAGTATCCTCGAATAGGCAAAGCTTTCCTCGACGGCAGCAACTGGTCTCCGATTGTAACGTCCGGTGTCAGCACATCGCGCGATCTCAATCGATCTTGCAACACACGACATTTATTGAGTGGACTCAAAGTTGGATACCATTCAGAAAGTATCGTACACCGGCGGAAATTAGGAAATTATCCGTAGAAATCTGCCAAATCCAATGAACGTCATCATTTTTGGCGGAGATGTCTACTGGGTGGATCGCAATCTGGCCACCGTCTTTAAGGCGAATAAGCTCAGCGGCAATACCAGTCTTCTCATTCCCGTCCGAACGAATCTGCAAAAACTCAGAGACATCGTTATTTTCGATCAAAGAAACCAACCAGCAGAACCTACAAATCCTTGCTCGCAGGTATCAGTTTGTTTCAATATACGCAATTTTTTATCTGAAAAAATAAAACTAAAATAAATTTACGATTACTTTTAACGAAATAATTAACGAAGATAAAGATATCTTTCGAGCATTATAAAATCTTAATTTATATTTACATTATAAAATGACTTAATTGAAAGACATGAAATGTCTTAAAACATACATCTAATGCTCGAAAGATATTATCAACTTTGTACAATGTTTCATACACGCAAACATATATCTCGTTTACTGTGACATCAGGGCCCACAGTGATGATGTATGTTAAATTATCTCCACTAAATTCCATGAAAAGATTTCCATAAGGAAATAGTCATTTTATCAGCTGTAAATTATTTCAAGTAACCACTAATTGAATCTTGTTTATATTTTTGTATGGCCGCAGTGAGTTTATGCGTAAGTCGGTTTACCGTAGTTTTGTCTGCCGGATATCAAGTTCATTTTCTTCTTGCTTTGCGACTTTTTCCGCTACTTTCTCACGAATCTCCACTGGGTAACTAGTATCCGGAGGCCGCCTCTCATGGATTATTGTGTGTTTCTTTACTGCATTTTGAATAGTCTCAATGAAGTCTTCAGCTTCCAAGATCTATAGAGAGAAGGTTACCTCAGTAAAACCGGTTGAGGGCGAGGGACGATAAAGTAAGGGGGGGCTAGAAACAGCTTGATGGCGAGGAGCGATGAAGGAAGGGGGGAGCTAGAAACAGCTTGATGGCGAGGGGCGATGAAGGAAGGGGAGAGCATGATGATCTCTCATCGACAAACAGTAGCTGTCTGAGATAGCTTCTGTTCGCCGATGAGATCATCATTGCCCCTCTTGCCGCTCGCCCCTATCTGCATTTGCCCCTCTTGCCGTTCGTCCCTCTTTGCGCATGAGGTAACCTCTCTATAGATCTTGTTCAGCTTCTAACTGATACTTAGTTTTTAATTGTATTTTCAGGTTTACCTAAGGCACTATAAACGTGAGTATTCTCACGTCTGCTCACGTCTGCGCCATTTTTGCTCCATTCTTCCACTCCTTGCCCTTTCGCCCGCTGAGCTAAGGGATCTGTTGATCCCTGCTCTTCTGATCACTGCCTCTAGCACTAAGTTAAAAAGAAGAGGGGCCAGACCGTCGCCTTGTTTAACTCCCTTTTCTATCTGTAGGGGTTCCGAGATTCTTCCGTTAACCTTGACTCTCCCTCTTGCCTTCTCGGTGACCAACTTACACATTTGCACCAGTTTGTTTGGGACTTTTAATTCTACTAAGGCTTCCCACATTGCTCTGCGATCTATGTTGTCGTATGCTGTTTTAAAGTCAATGAACAGATGATACGATGCGATATTGTGTTCCCAGAGCTTCTCCAAGAGATGTCTCATGATGAAGAGTTGGTCTGTAGTTGATTTATCTTTCCTGAACCCGTACTTGTATTCGCCTAGCAATTCTTCGTATATTTTCTCTAGTTTTTTACGAATGATATATGTAGGAATCGGAAATCCGTTTACCGTGCGCACGCTGCGCGCCCGCGCCTAGCGGCGATTAGAATAAGGATCCTCCAATCAGGATCTTTGCTAATGTCATTTTTGAAACTATCATCCTCTTTAATTATTATTTTCCTTTCTCTTTTTTCTTTCTTAGGCCACGCCTTTTTACTATTACTGGTTAAATCATTTTTTGTTAAAACCTAGAATGCATAATAACAATAATAGTATCATTTTTTAACAAAAATGGTTTGCAGGCGGAGTGCAATACAACTAATAAAGAAAATAGCAGATTAATTAAAAAAGTATTAACGAAAGAAACAATGATTTCTATTACGGTTTCTTCCTTTATTTTTATTAACAATTGGTTGTTTTTGAATTTCCTGGTACGCCACATCGACATTAATTTGCCTTTTGATATTATTGACTTGTTGTGTATAGAATCTTTTTTCTTAACTGGAGGTAACATATTTCTAGTGCACGAAAGATATTATCAATTTTATATAATGTTTGATACACGGAAACGTATATTTCAGTTACTGTGTCATCAGGACCCACAGTGATGAAACATATAAAATGTATTTTTCTTTTTTTTTTTCTGTTAACCGATAAAATTTTCCAATTCACGTTTGCCTTCTCATTTTTTTCATGCAGATAAAAATCCAAATGTTTGTTTTGTAAATGATCCGTAAATTTATCATTTTTTGATGTATGGTTAAATTGTTAAATTTACCATTGCAGCAATTTTTTTTTTGTTTTAATCGCATTTGGGTAATACCAGCAGTCTGTAACAAATATATATTCATTGTTAAAAATGATGTATAAAACCAATTTTCATAAAGATAATTGATACTAACATTAACATGCTTAATCATACTTTCTTGCGCTGTTGCAAAGTATTGCAATACAACTAATAAAGAAAATAGAAGATTAATTAAAAAAGTATTAACGAAAGAAACAATGATTTCTATTACGGTTTCTTTCTTTACTTTTATTAACAATTGGTTGTTTTTGAATTTCCTGGTACGCCACATCGACATTAATTTGCCTTTTGATATTATTGACTTGTTGTGTATAGAATCTTTTTTCTTAACTGGAGGTACATAATATGTTTCGGCTGTTTCACCTCATCTTTGATTTGTTGCAACTTAGAAGAGTGATTGCTCTGTAATCACTACAGATAGTTTCGGATCTTTCATTTGGAAAAGTTTGAACAATCATTTTAGCTATATGTTCACCCAATTCATTTGTCATACTGCAAAAAATTACATAATTAAATAAATATATACAATTAAAAGTAAAGTAAAATAAAATTAATAAAATAAAATAAAATTTACTTTGCAGGAATGTTTTCAATATAAGAAATAATTATATTGCATAAATTAATTTTTAGTATTTCAGATAAGTTTTCTGTTGAATTATAATACATTAAAATTTCTTTTTCTGTTTTGCTTTTTGAAAGTAATTCCTTGATGCAAATCATAGTTTGTTTGGTTAATTTAACTGATTCTATAGGATTCGATATATTCGAAAGTGAACCCTCAGATACAAAATATAGTAAAAATTTATATTCGAAATTTTATTCGTTTTACACAAAATACGTACACACCTTATAATTTGGTTTCCAAAACGCTAAAAATGTACAGATAGTTAGGTCCCCCTTTTTGGTATCGGATTGATTAGGCCGGTTGCCCAATCTTCCGGGAGTGTGTTCTTATGTCTTCAGATATTCACAATTAGCTTATGCATTATCAATGCAGTTGTGTTGCCTGTGTACTTCAGCATCTCGCCCGTGATAGAGTCAATGCCTGGGGCTTTGTTGTTTTTTAAGGCCATTATGGCTCCTTTTATCTCTTCTATGTCAATATAGAATAGTGGTAATATTTTGAATTTTTCACTATTATTCTTTTGCTTATCAACCGTTTGTTTCACCATAAACTTTTATTTTTATTTTGTTTAATAAATTTGCAATGAACGGTATATTGTTATCCTTTTTTGTATCAAAATAAAAAATACCCTTTTGTATCAAATACCATAAATGTTCGCTTTCTGGAGGATAACTTAATTGGAAGACATGAAATGTCTTGAAGCATATTTCTAGTGCACGAAAGATATTATCAATTTTATATAATGTTTGATACACGGAAACGTATATTTCAGTTACTGTGTCATCAGGGCCCACAGTGATGAAACATATAAAATGTATTTCTTTTTGTTAAC